CTTCAATTGTGGCTTGTCTAAGGGTTTGTCTTGTGAGGAAGAAGGCTCTTTGGTGGTTGTAGTAGTAGTTTGATCAGAAGTCGAACCTGTCTTCGATCCAGGTCTTTCTTTCTTGACTACATTCCTCTCGACAACTAACAATAGACATGTATTTGAAAGTTTGTTAAATGAATAATATTGAGTAAATTTGAAAGGACAATTGAAAGGATCAAGGAAACCTTTGGTTCCATACCTTCATATGTATCAGATTCAATAGAGACTGCTAATAAGTCATAGCGAAGGAAACCTTTGAAACTCTCCAGAGTATGCTTAGTAGAAACCACTCTCTTAGAAGGTGTTTGAGCATCATTTTTAGGGTGTTAAAAATATTTCCACAAGTAAACCAATTTGGGTAAGGCGAAAAAGATACTAAACCAAAATCAGCATTTGGTAATTTTGGAAATTTCAGTGGTTGTAATTGAAAATCTAGTTCATATCTATGTTTAGGCTTTATAGAAGATGGAATTTTTAAGCTTGGAAGTTTTTTAGTAAACTTCTCTTTGAAAGTTTTTGTTGCGTCAAAAACAATTGGACTAATATTGGTTGGATCATAGACAGATTCAAAGTATCTCTGGAACGCCTGGATTTCCTTGATGTGTGTAAACTTACCTTTTTTGATTTTTTTCTGCCTAAATGAAAAAGCTTTCGTTAGACGTTTGCTTATTTGAGTAGTGCTGAACATATTCTTGGAATAGAATTCAGTCCACCAAGAGAAAAACTTTTGGTCATATAGAAGGATGGTTGAAACGAAGTGAGTTTGAATTTAGCAAAGTTCGCATGATAGTTTTGGTACTTTTCAATATCTTGAAAGATGTAATCCACTCCTGATACACAAATCTCTTTCTTCTGATTGAAAATAGGTTCAGTAACGAGTTGACATAAACCAGATTGGCGAGATACGAAATTGAGTTGATAGGCCAATAAGAAAACATGACTTTTCACTGGCATGATCATAGAGATTATAAGCCTTGGCAAAAGAAATGCTTTCCATATATTTTCGATTTCAGATTCAGCACTCTTCAAAGCTTCTTCGAGGGGTGAAGTAAACCACACAAGACCATGCGTTCGATAAGAAAAAGGAGCCATGGTCGGGACAAAATCATGACAATTTGTAAGCATCATCATATAATTGGTGATACTTTTTTGGAGATTTTCTGCCTCCTCGTTTGGGGTCAATTGTAGAAGCCTGATTCTTTCGATGGTTCGATTGGAAATGTCAAGGTCTTCTTCATCAATGGTCTTATAAGTGCTGAGTGATGGCTCTAAAGTGGCATTTAGCTACAGCTGAAGGAGCCAATATGGGCCAGCAAGGAGGAAGTTGATGCCAATTTCATTGTATTTTTAACTTGGAAGTAGCATAACCTAAGCTCTCATAATGACCAGCTAAGAGTAACTCACTTAAGCATATCTTTCGACCAGAGTGTAATTGGTTAGCTATAGTTAAAAATCTTCTAGCAACCTGTAGTGATTTACAGCAAAAGATGTACTTTGATAGCCATAAGGCAAGGAAGGCTATGTGTTCTATATCTGTGACTTCATCCCCCTCAGTATCATACAAATTCATGTAAGCGGTGAAACTAGCATTTTTTACTTGAAAGTTAATAGTGTTGTCTGATTGCAAATAAGGGTCAAAGGTTTCTCCAGTTGGAGGAAGTCCGGTTATTGTAGTTATGTCAAAAAGAGTGGGAGTCATCATCCCACAAGGAAGATGAAAATTATTGTAGGTGTTATCCCAGAAATATAAAGACACTAATAGTAGAGGTTGGCAATAATTGAATCACATTTTACATTTGGATTAAATCAAAGATACCCAAATATTTCCAGTCTTGGGATTTTTTCTTTTCTATTTTTGAGAGCCAAGACAAATAGAGCTTGTCTGATGAGTGGCATGATCGAAAGGGTTTAAAGTTTTCAGTTATATAATCTAATTGAAAAACTTCCCTCTTTATCTTGGAAACTAAAGTCTCCTTAGAAGTTTTCTCTTTAGAAGCTTTTATGGGTTTCTTAACATAATCGTCATTGTTTTTCTTAGGAGTATTGGCTCTATTAGCTATTGGTTTGGTTTCATGGTAGACGGGAAAAATTTCTACAAAATTTTCAAAATTTTCGGAAGAAACCAAAGGTCCCATAAAACATAGGGTTTTATCAACAAGAGAAGAAGGAATGAGTACCTGAGAAGCATAAATAGCTTTTTGTTTTGGAGTGAATTTGGGAGTAGAGATAAATTCATGATTTTCAAAGGTCATGAGTTCACTAGCAAGCCCAGATTGAAGCATGATATTTTTTGAATTTCCTGTTCCTTTGTTGTTCTTAGATGATTGTTGTTGTTTGGATGACGACATTGCTAAGTCGAATGTTTGATTGAAATTCGAAAAAATTGGGTTTTTGTTCTGAATTTGTTTGGAAGATTGAAAATTACAGAAACAGAAGTATGAAGAGGAAGATGATGTGTTTTTATAGTGATTGTGAAATTTACACTATAGCAAGTTAAAGGGACACGTGTTCTTTTGTTATAGGAAGAAGAGGTTGAGCTATTTTTCTCTTGGGAACTGTTTTATAGATAGTAATGATGAAACTGCTATACGCACGTCTGAATTGACGTTTGGAAAAAGGTGATTACTTTTTTATGACGTTACAACAGTAAAAGTTTATCATGAGTATATGGTCTATCAAAATTTAGGATTATTATTCAAAAATGACTATTTCTCTATATAACGAAATACACATTTTTGAGGGGTAATTTGTTGACTGGGAATTTCAATTACATGAGTTCTTAAATACATTTGATGTATTTTAGAAGAAAGGAAGTTCGAAAGAAAATATGAAGGAATTTCTATGAAGGTTTCAGTAGATGAAAAGCTAGAAAAGGTTTCTTTCTATCAAAGCAATGTCGAAAGGTTCATCTGTGAACTATTGGAAATTAAGTTATTCGAAGCATCATAAGAAAGGATATTTCAACCGTCACATTGGTCGATTTGGTGCTTCAAAAAGGAAGAAATTTTGAATTCAAAAGTTTTATCTTATCCAAAGAAACACGTGGAAGTTTATTAGGTTCGAAAGACATGCAATCTTCGAACGTGACACTCTATTATAGAAAGACCTCTAAGGCCAAAATAGTATAAGTAAGAGTCTTAATGTTAGGATTCAGGGTGTTTGTTTTGTACAAAATACTCACTATACTCAAAGTAGCAAGTGTTAGAGAAAAGAGTTGCAAGAAATGTACGTATAAGACACCATTATTGTTCTTTTCAATTTATCTTATTTTATCAGTACCATGTCTTTTTAACATTCACAGTATTTCTTTTACTTTTTAATCAAAACTCTTTCAAATTGATGCCTTTACATTGATTATGTATTCTTTACATTTCTTTACATTATCAGTCGAAGTCCTTACATTATTTATTCAAAAACTTTCTTATTTGAACTTACTGTAAATTGTATTTCTAATCTTCATACTATTATCAATAAAATAATTTTAAACATAAAATTTATTACCAGTTCAAACTTAGGAACTTACACACGTGTCCTAGGATCAATCTAGTCGATCCTGCAAGTTACCAAAGTGTTTAGTTTGGAAGACTAGCGGTTGTTTACCAAATTTACGCGTAAACAACTGAAACGGGCGGGGATTGATTGCGAACCCTGTATGCTTTCCTTCTTTTGAGGACTTATCACTTGTGATATATTCGGGAACAAATGTAAACGCACGTGAAGAATACCTACTTCAAAGGTAGGATTTTAAACAAACACAAAGCGGTGCCTGCTACAGAACTTTAAACATCGACTTTGAGCACACGCTCTTTATTTTCTACTTCTCCTGATATCTAGAAAGCAGTAAAGTGCTGAAATGAGATAAACAAGAGAAAATACCAAACGGATATTAATTCGTAGCAAAGCGTACCAAAACAAAGAAACTTGAAGATCTTCGTGAAAGCTTCACCAATAAAAGAAAAGTGTCAAAAACCAAATGCTCGGAACAAATGTTGAAGCATCCTCGATGGGAAAATAAATGACAATCAAAATCTCAAGCATATCCGCATATCACACAATAAACATGCATAAGACTCAAATCTCAACAAGTGAAGGTGAATCACAAGTCTCGAGTAATCGGGTAATCAAGAATTAATTCCTAAAAATCATATAAAAATATAACAACTTTTTATTGATTTTATTATTTTTTATCATGTAAAAAAAAGGTTAAAAGAAATCTAAATAATTATCAAAATTATTCAAAAATAATCGCAAAAAGCAAAAAACACAAGCCAAAGGGGTGCAGGCTGGAATCCATGTGATGTGCTGAATAGTCTGGGCGCTAGGCCCATGCAGTTTTTGAATCCATAATGTTTTTTTTGTTCGTAAAGCAATAGGCTTCACAAAAACGCCCTTGGGACAATTCAGGGTCCGGTCCAACAACATTTCTTTGTTTGTAACACTATCTTCCAAAAAAAAACTCCGCGGGTCTAAGAAGTGGTGTATACGCGCAGAAGCCCAAGGGAGATAATCCATAAGCCGTTTTTTGTACACTAGGTTTGCAGCTTCCAAATAATTCATGGGCCTATTGAGGACACAACTCGGTCCGGCCCAAATATATCATTACATATTTCCTTTTTTTCTACATTATATACATTTTTAATATTTGGATAAAAAAGAAAAAGAAGTAAAAACCACAGGAATGAAACGATGCGTTTAGCAAAAAGGATAGGGTTCACAGATGATTTGTGATGCTTCAGATTTTTGGAATAAAAAACAAAATCTCTTATCCTTCATTTTCTCTCCGCGGACGGCGAACAACTCGTCTTCGGTGATTTCACTGTCAACCCTCTCTGATCTCCACCACGCTGCATAAGCTCCTAAGACTCACTTATGTTCAATCGATTCCTCCTCCGTCGCGATCGTGCTTCAAACCTTCCTTTGAAACATCAAGGTTCAAAGCATATACTACACAAAGATTAACTCAATTATCATGAATATGTGTTAAGTTGTGAGGACGACACTAAACCGAACCCGAACGGAAGTCTTGAAGCTCCGACACAAGGATGCAATCTACAATTACCGCTACTAAGGTATTCTTCTTCTTCTTCTATTCTTTGTATTAACTTCTGTGATTCTATGAGGTCCTTGTTCTTCCTTCTTCTGACTTCCTGCGCGTATTGGTGTTGCAGTTTCGATGATGTGTTGTTGTTGCAATGTCGACACGATGTGGAGAAAGTGTTAGGATTTGTTGCAGCGTTGAAGAGAATTGAAGGCTTGTTGATGATAATGATGCGATGTTGTTGAGTAATGAAGAATGGATGAAGATGAGAGGCAAATAAAGAGTTTGTTCTGTGATTCTTCATAGATTGAAGAATGAATGAGAGAAGACGAATATTGTAGATTGTGAAGAAGCTCGGTGATGGAGGGTGAAGATTGGAAGAGGAAGAAGAGAGAATTTTAGAGAGTGATTCTTCTATAGAGATTGAAGAATGATCCATCTAAGGTGAGTTTTTGTTTTTTATTCTGTTATAACAGTTTGTTAGAGAATATAGAATCTCAGCCCTTGATTCCATAAGTTAGTTACAAATTTAATGGAGGAGATATGAGTTTTTATTCGGTTAGGATGAGCTGACATTGAGCTGCTAATTGAATCAGTTTTATAGTTAGTTTCTGTTGATTTTTTTGTTATGCTGGAATTGAGTTTAGTTAGGACTTGATTTATTATTTTTCTATTTCACCATTTCCTTTCTTTATATTTTTTGGCTTTGGTATTTTGAATGTGAGTTGCAACCTAATTTAACCATGCTAAATGAACATGGTTTATGCGAACTGATATATATTCTTCTGAATTTTATTGCATGAACATACGATGAACAGTCTCGACAGAGAGTGGAACGAATGCAATTCCTTTATTTAGTTTTTTTTAATTTTATTTTCTGGATCAGTATTATTTTCCTCTGTACTTTCTACTGAACCGAAATGGCCTGAGTTCATGAGTAACTTCTGCTGACTTGAACTGGTGTATTGCCTGTTATAAGTTTATGTTGAATTTCATTTGAATGGGCTGTATTGTTTAATGAAGGTGCGTCAGTTTGCTTGCAATGCATCAAAGGGTGCACAAGTTTTTATGGACATGAAGCAAGCCTTTTTTGGACAGGTTCATGGCAAGCATTCAGCATGGCTTGAAAGATTGTAGAAGAGTTTTATGAAGATGGGTTCATGATGGCTAATCGAAAGCTTGGACATGATTTGAGTGTTGGAAAGCTTGAAGGGAAAACAAGATTACAGGGAGCATAACATTATTGAAAAGTCTTATAGTTTCTTTATAATTTTCACTTGGAATTTCTTTTGCAAGAACACAGATTTGTAATGGTTTTTGACATTTTAAGTTTTTTTCAACCAATGAATCCTGAATGAAACTTGTATGAGCATTTGGCATGAAATTTGAATAAAATAAGTCTTGAATCTTTGAGCTTGCTCATGCATACAATTTCATAACACTTGAATTAATTTCTTGTATAATTTTTCTCCATATGCTTCAGTTTTTATTTTCAATTTGCAATGCTTCAGATTGTAAAGAGATGATGTAGCTTGCATCTTGAATGAACTCAACTAGAATAACACTTGAATATGTTTCACAAACCTTGTGAATTTTAAATGATATCTCTCCTTCTTGTTTTAGTTCGATTTGAAATATTTCACGAAAAATCATGAAATAGATCATATCTTTAACAATCACCATTTCCACTTACTAACATTAACACAATGGTAAAGCCTTGAGGAAATCTGAAGAGTAAGTATGGGAATATGGAAGATAGCCTTGACATGAAAACCCACTAGTATTTAGTTGGATATTATAAAACTTAACCATGATAAGACGTAAACTCTAACAATTCACAACCTTAATCAAATTGCTTCCGGAAGTAACTTGAAAGATGGCTTTGTCTTTTGATAAAGATGTATGTCTTGGTAAAAGAAGAAAATCCTGATGCTCATGATTACAAACCCTAATTCCTTAAGCTAATATTGATGAGGAAACAGATTGAAAAACCCTTGATTAAAGAGGAGATCTTCAGAGCCAAAGAAACCCTAATTCTCCAGTTTAACTATCAAGAGAAACAGACGAATTAGTCTTATTTGATAGGTACCCCTCAAAATATTGTGAAAAATCGTGGCATTGCACGCCTATTGAACTTTTGAACCCCTATGCTTTATAAAATGCAAATGTATGCTATGTTAGTGACCTAATGAAAAGATGTGAATGCAACACTAAGCCTAAGCCAAATAAAAGTACAAGTAGGAGGGTAAATTTTGAGGTGCAACAGCTGTCCCTATTTAATCGTTTTAAACCTGAAGGTGAGATTGGCGCCATCCTTTCAAACTTTCAAGGTGGAAGAAGTTTAAATATTAAAAGAACCCGAAAATTTACACTCTGAAGCCAGTCAGGTATTGTTATATTTTTTGCTTTCTGTATTTTTTCATTTTTTCTTTTTTTGGTTACAACAATTATCTGGGTAAATCTCTTGGATGTCGGGTCAAGATTAGACATACAAGACGAAGATAATATACTCAAGAAAAAGATCCCCTACAGCGGACTCTAACGAAGATATCTAACAAGAAAGAGACCTAACAAAGTGGACTCAATCGAAGATGTCGGGAAATATGAGATCTCACAATGATTTCACCCAAAGATAACATAGATGAATGAGACCTAACAAAGTGATCTCAAATTAAACTATCAGAAATGGAAGGGATCTAACAAAGCGATCTCGATCAAATATTGAGGAGGGAGGAAATATAACACTGTGATTTTGACCAAAGATAAGAAGGGAAGAAATCTAACACAACGATCTCGACCAAAGGTAACAAAGACAAAAAGAGACCTAACAAAGTGGACTCAATTGAGGACATCGATGAGGGAAGATATATAACAAAGAAATCTCAACCAGAGATAACAAAGATGGAAGAAATTTAACACGGTAATTTCAACTAAAGATATCAAAGAAAGAAAAGACCTAACACAGCAGACTCAACCGAAGATATCAAAGATGGAAGAAATATGTCAAATAGATCTCAATCAGATATCAAAGATGGAATAAATCTCTCCAATCAATGTCAACCGAATATCGAAGATGGAAGAAATCTATCAAATCTATCTCAGCCAGATATCAAAGATGGAAGAAATCTGTCAAATTAATCTCAACCATATATCAAATATGGAAGAAATCTGTCAAATTGATCTCAACCAGATATCAAAGATGGAAGAAATCTGTCAAATCCATCTCAACCAAATATTGAAGATGGAATAAATCTGTCAAATCGATCAAAACCAGATATCAAAGATGGAAGAAATTTGTCAAATCAATCTCAACCGTATATCAAAGATGGAAGAAATATGTCAAATCGATTTAAGTCGGATATCAAAGATGGAACAGATCTAACAAAGCGATCTTGACCGATGTCAAGGAAGGAAGCAGTCTACCACAGTGGCTTCAACCGAAGTTATCAAAGACGAAGGAAACCTAAAAAAGTAGACTCAATTGAAGATATCGAAGATGAAAGAGACCTAAAAAGTAGACTCAATCAAAGATATCGAAGATGGAAGAGATATAAAAAAGCGACCTCGATCGAAGATATCGAAGATGGAAGAGATCTAACAAAGTGAACTCATGCAGATATCAAGGAAGGATGAAATATAACACAATGATTTCAACCAAAGATATCAAACATGGAAGAGACCTAACACAAAGGACTCAATCGAAGATATCAAGGGGTGGAAGAGATCTAACAAAGCGATATCGACTAGAGATATCAAGGAAGGAAGAAATCTAACACAATGATTCAACCAAAGATATCAAAGATGGAAGAGATCTAACAAGTGATCTCGACTAGATATATCAAGGAAGGAAGAAATCTAACATAGCAACTTTAACCAAAAATATCAAAGAGGGAAGAGACCTAGCATAGTGGACTCAACCAAAGATATTGGAGATGGAAGAGATCTAAAAAAGTGATCTCGACCAGATATATCAAGGAAGGAAGAAATATAACACAATAACATCAACCAAAGATACAAAAGAGGGAAGAGACCTAACACAGTGGATTCAACCAAAGATATCGGAGATGGAAGAGATCTAACGAAGTGATCTCGACCAGATATATTAAGGAAGGAAGAAATCTAACACAATGACTTCGACCAAAGATATCAAAGAGGGAAGAGACCTAACACAGTGGACTCAACCAAAGATATCAGAGATGGAAGTGATCTAACAAAGTGATCTCGACTAGATATATAAAGGAAGGAAGAAATCTAACACAATGAATTCAACCAAAGATATCAAAGAGGGAGGAGACCTAACACAATGGACTCAACCAAAGATATCGGAGATGGAAGAGATCTAACAAAGTGATCTCGATAAGATATATCAAGGAAGGAAGAAATCTAACACAAAAACTTCAACCAAAGATATCAAAGAGGTAAGATACCTAACACAATGGACTAAACAAAAGATATCAAAGATGGAAGATATTTAACAAAGTGATCTCGACCAGATATATCAAGGAAGGAATACTAACCGCAGATAGCCTCCTGGAGAAAGAACAACGATTGAAGGCAAACTGGGGGTAAAATATACATGTCTTGTCATAGTTAAACACATATAAGAAAGAGACCAAACGAAGTAGACTCTTAACAAAGGATGCCTGCACAAAGGTGAATCAACAAGGAGGCTTAGCCAAAGGTAGAATCCTAATAAATTAACACCGGTCAAAGGCAAACCCCACATTGAAAAGAAGACTAACCGAAGGTATACTTTTAACAAAGAACGCTGACCAGAGGCACAATTTCTGGGGAAACCACGTAACAAATTCCATTCGGGAAACTGGACAAGAATTTTGACCAAAGTAAATTCACAGAGAACGCCAAATCAAAGGCGAACTTTATAGGAGAAAGAAACCAGTTGAGGGGTACTCTGACAAAGATTTCAAACACATATTGGACTTTTAAGAGGTTACAAGTACGCAAGAATTACGATATCCCTCAAACCAAAGGCGAGGTATTAATTCTTCAAGTGTGGAAATTGTATGAATTACGACACACTAAGCATGGATACTCAAATACTTGAGAAATAAGAAAGATTATACACCGACTCTTACTTGCACTCTAACGGCAAAAGAAAACACGGGTAAAATAACCAAGGGCTTGCAAGGGCAAGAACAAACCACACTGGGGAAATGGAAGATACCAAAGGCCCGACTGGTGGTAAATCAAACAGACTTCATTGGGGAAACAGAATAGGATCACCCTAGGCTTGATGTGGGGATAATTCAAATATGAGCGCATAACAATCTAGTTACTAAAAGTAAACACAATTGGCTTATACTTATGCATGTTTGAATTTTTTATAGCGTAATGCTCAATACAATGGAAATGATACACGTTTTAGTAGATGCAATGTAATGATGCATGTTTAGAAATGCACTGGGAAAAGCACATCAATAATCGGCTGCTGAGAAGACAATGAACTTTCGAATGATCATTCTTGGGCATCTGATTTTCTGTAGAGAAAAGGAAATTTAAACTTCAATGGGGAATCGAGATTCAGAACCACCAACATCTAAAGATCGATAACACTGAGGAAGTAACCTCCTAGAGAGAAATACTGCAAAAATAAATTGCAGTTCAAAGAAAAATCTGGAATTCTGATCAAACTCCTAACTTCCCGGGGAACAAACTCTTTACCCTCTATTAGAAAAAGGAGAGCTTCGCTGGGGATGGAAAATTTCTTGCGTAGAATCTCTTGATGAAGATAACTTCTACTGGGGAGTATGGAAATTCTTAAATAAAAATAATTCTACTAAGACTGCACTGCGGATAACACCGCCGAGGGGTAAATAATCTTCACTTGGGGAAGAAACAAATATCCTGGGACAAACTCTACTAGGAATATCTAAACAAAATTATCTATCACCGGGGATGAAAAAGTTATTACTGACACTCTCATGTACACCACACTTGGGAGACAGGACACTTGCTTCACTAGTGAAAGAAAACTTGTCCCACTGGGTAATAATAGATAAGTTACTTCGGCAGGTCCTCAAAATTCGACTTCGATTGGGGATAAAGACTACCTCTTACACTGGAGAGCCAAAAACCTTTGAATGGTAACATCAACAATACCCATTTCACTAGGTGTAGCCATATCTGCAAGATTTAAGCCGACGAGGATATTTGTACTGGGGAGCAAAAATTACTTCATTGAGGATAATGGTCGTCCTCATGAGGATACCAAACCAAAATCTCCCATAGGTAAACATGAATCTCTTCAAAAACAAATTGATATAGGCAGGCCGCATTGGAGAGAGAGAGAGAGAGAGAGAGAGAGAGAGAGAGAGAGAGAGAGAGAGAGAGAGAGAGAGAGAGAGTGCACCCTTCACTGA